GATAGTTCAGCAATTAAGAGCATTTGTTACTCTCCCAGAGCACTCACATGACAGCTCACAACCATCTGTTACTCCAATGCCAGGGGACTGTGATGCCCTCTTTGGGCCTCTGTGGGCACTGCACACATGTGATGCACAGACATACGTGCAAACAACACACCAGCACACCATAAAAAATTGTTTTTACATCTTAAAAAAGATTTTATTTTTATATTTGATTATATGTATATGCATGTGAATTTGTGCCTGTGAATATAATGCCTAAGGAGACAAGAAGAGGGCATCAGATTTCCTGGAGTTGCAGTTACAGTCAGTTGTAAGCTGCCTGATGTGGATGCTGGGAACTGAACTAGTATCTTTCACAGGAACAGTGCTCTTAACCACTAAGCTTTCTCTCCAGCCTGGACCATAGTTTTAAAGTTTTTTTTTTTTCTTTTAAAAAATATTCTTTTCAGCCGGGCGGTGGTGGCGCACGCCTTTAATCCTAGCACTCGGGAGGCAGAGCCAGGCGGATCTCTGTGAGTTCGAGGCCAGCCTGGTCTCCAAAGCGAGTTCCAGGAAAGGCGCAAAGCTACACAGAGAAACCCTATCTCGAAAAACCAAAAAAAAAAAAAAAATAATATTCTTTTCAGCAGGGCGGTAGTAGCACACACCTTTAATCTCAGCACTCAGGAGGCAGAGGCAGGCAAATCTCTGTGAGTTCGAGGCCAGCTGGTCTACTTAGGGAGTGAGCAAGTTCCAGGACAGTTAAGGCTACACAGAGAAACCCTGTCTCGAAACAGAAGAAAACAAAACAAACTGTTCTTTTCATTTAAATGAAAACAAAGGAACACCATAACCTCACGTGTGTTGTCAGTGAAAAGAAAACTCACCTGGTGATTAAATAGGGTGCCCCAGCAACTAGAATAAAATGTGTCACTGGACCTGACACTCTTTTCTGTTAGTGACCTCATTGCTTCCAAATGAAAACGTGGACACGTCAGCTTGCTTACACCTCCCTTTCCTTAGATTTCCTTCTCAGTAGCCAAAGAAAAGCAAATGGAGGATTTTTTTCCTTCTTTCTAAAAATGTCAGCAGGAAAACATCTGAGAGGCCAATGAGAGAAAAATCCCAGAAAGTACAGAGGCTCAAGTTCTTTGTCTTGGCTCTGGTCCTACCAAATCCTTGCACATATATCTAGCCTTCTGATAATAGCTATGCATACTAGGTGAGACTTCAATACTCCAATGCTGCCCTAAGTATGTGCTGAATCATCTAAGACCATTTATAACATAGATCGGTGCTTCTGACCACAAAGGCGCTGCTTATGTGGAGGGAGGCTGGCAGAGAAGAAAAACTCAAATCTCTTTCTATTCCAGATCCGTTTTTCCCTCTGGACCTCAGAATTTGCTATGGTGAGAGAATGGAGAGAGGTCTGTCAGAGTCCAAACCCAGAGCTGCTGTTCTTCTCATTCAAAGCCCAACACCAATAGCTTGCCTCCATGTATTTTCCTCTCTAATTCTCAGTTTTATTATCCAGAATAGTCCTTTTCTATTTTATTTTGAATTCCAAAGCTTTGGTAATGCATATGGAAAACAAAATGGGAAGAAAATATTTCAGTGGTCACATTTTATTCTTAATGCACCAAAGTGAACAGTTTAATGAAAATATGAGGAGCTTTCCCATGGGTGGATTATTTTTGCTTTTCATTTCACCAATTTTTTTGCACATCATATACCTGAAGAAAAGATGGTATTGGCGAATCTATTATGTTTTATTACAATGTCCTGTGGGTTTGAATTAACGTGCTCAACCACACGAAAGGCAAAAGCAAATCATTGCACACTAAATAGGTATAAAACCATGGAATTTCTGCTTTAGGGATTTCTTTAGGAATAATTGTATTTTACTTTAGCTCAGGATACCTAGAAAAGGTATTTATTACTAGCTCCTCCCTCCAACGCCGTGCTCAGTCACTACTACCAATTTTTCCAAGATCCAGTTTTCCTTGTCATGTATTGCCTTAGATGTATTCATTGGGTCTATTCTAGTCCCTCAGCCAAAGAAAACCATGCCTAGAAGCGTAAGACAAACTCTCTGCCTACTTGTGAGACAGTGTATTAGTAACTTTTCTGTTGCTGTGAAAAATACCATGATCAAAAGAAACTTCTGGAAGAGTTTATTTTGGCTTACAGCTCCAGAAAATGAGTCCATAAATAACAGAGAGACATGGCAGCAGGTGGCTGGATCAGGAAGCTAGGAGACCACATCTTTTTTACTGGGTGTAGAATAAAACCCAAGGTGAGCCTGGCCCGGTCCCATTCCAGTCTCATCCTTGCTTGCCCCTCCCCCAACATACTTGCTCCCCACACCACCTGCCTAGCGCCTGCGGCGCTCTCAGCTCTGTGCTTCTGCTCACTTTTCTCTGCTTGGTCTAGGTTTTGCCCAGGGACCAAGTATTCCAACATGGGAACGTTTTCATTTAAACAAGCATAAAGGTGTTTGGAAAAAAAAAAAAATAAAGAGCGCTGCCCAAGTCAAGATGTTCTTGTCAGAAATCTGCCGTACATAGTCAGTTGCTCATTCTTGCTGGAAATTCCCACTTATGGAAGTAGTGACAAGTGGTACCCTTGCACTTGGTTTTAAATAATTCATTGTATGCTGTGTATATCGCTCTGGCCAATGGCCAGGCAGGAAGTATAGGCGGGGCAAACAGAGACGAGAATTGTGGGAAGAGGAAGGCTGAGTCAAGAAATGCCAGCCCGCCGTCCAGGGAGCAGCATGTAACAGGTACACAGGTAAAGCCACGGAACACGTGGTAACGTCTATATTAACAGAAATGGGCTGAGTTTAAGTGTAAGAGCTAGTCAGTGGTAGGCCTGAGCTAATGGCCAAGCGGTTTTAAATAATATTAGCCTGTTGTGTTTATTTATGCAAGGACGCAGGAGCTGGCTGTACACAGGAAAACTTCAACTACAATTGTATGCAGATGCAGAGTAAATAAAAGCTCACTAACTGCAGGGATTGCTTCAGCTTTAAAATGTATGCAGTATGGTAGAAACAGCTAAGCATTCAAATCTCAGTTATACATCTCCAAGTCTCTTCAAATGCTCGCTCTTTTGGGGAGTGGGGGGTGGGTTCAAGACAGAGTTTCTCTGGTTAGCTCTGGCTGTCCTGGAACTAACTCTGTAGCCCAGGCTGGCCTCAAACTCACAGAGATCCACCTACCTCTGCCTCCCGAGTGCTGGGATTAAAGGTGTGCGCCACCACCGCCCAGCTTTATTTTATTCTTTAATTGTGTGTGCATGTGTGCACATGCATGCAGGTGCCCAAGGAGGCCAGAAGAGGACACAAGATCCCTTGAAGCTAGAGTTACAGGTGGTTGTAAGCCACCTGATATGGGTGCTAAGGATCAAACTTGGCTCCTCTGCAAGAGTAGTGTACACTTTTGATTGCTCAGCCGTCTCTCTAGTCTCAAGGTTCTGCATTTTAAAATGGTCCAGTGGATGCCAGTATGGAAGGCTGCACATGCTTTGGGTAGCAAGGCTTTAGAAAATTCTCTGGTGGACCAACAATAATGACAACCTCTTGTAAATACCAATGCTGAGAAAATAGATTGTCAAAGTGGAAAACGAAATGAGAGCACACACACACACACACACACACACACACACTCACACACACTCACGCACTCACACATACAAATCATTATTCTATTGTTCTACAACAGTGGTTCTCAGCCTGTGGGTTGCGATCCTTTGCGGAGTTGCGGGGGGGGGGGGGGGGGGGGGGCGCATTGAAAGACCCTTGAACTGAGGTCTCCCAAGACCACTGGAAAGCACATATTTACATTATGATTCATAACAGTAGCAAAATTGCAGTTATGAAGTAGCAACAAAAATAATTTTATGATTGGGGGTCACCACACCATGAGGAACGGAATTAAAAGGCTGGAAGCATTAGGAAGGTTGAGAACCACTGTTCCTAACTTCCTTTTTTCCCTCCTTTCACTTGCTTTGCTTTTTGTTTTGGTGAATATATGAGAGATACAGCTGGAAAATGAGAAGGAAATGCAACAAGAAATGGAAATATGGAGGGGAATGATGGAGCAAAAATGTGTTCAATTCCTCTTCATTTACAAGTGAAATCAGAGGGGCTGGAGAGATGGCTCAGCAGTTATGAGCACTGGCTGCTCCTCCAGGGGACCTGGGTTCGATTACCATCACCCACCTGGAGGCTCATGACTGTAACTCCAGTTCCAGAGGATCTGATGCCTTTTTCTGGACTCCTCAGGCAGCAGGCATGCATGTGGTGCACAGACATGCAGGCAAAACATCCATACACATAAAAATAACAAAAATATTTTCAAAGATAAGTGAATTTAGACTAGACATCTGAACAAACTAAAACTGGCCCACTTATATAAAGAAATAAATGAGGGACTGGAAAGATGGCTTAGCAGTTAAGAGCTCTGATTTCTCTTACAGAGCATATGGGTTCGATTCCCAGCATTCACATAGTGGCTCACAACCATTTCTAATTCAATTCCAAGGGATCTTATATCCTCCTCTGACCTCCTCTGGCACCAGACTCAAATGTGGCACACGGACATACATGCAGGCAAAACATCCATATGCATAGTAATAAAAGAATAAATGAACTTAGAGCTAGAGATATAGCCCACTTGGTACAGTGCTACCCTAGTACACATGGAGCCCTGAGTTGCTCCTCACCACTGCATAAACTAGGTGTGTGTGTCGGCACACCCACACCTGTAATCCTAGTACTCTGGAGGTGGAGGGCATTGCAACCAGAAGTTCAAGTAGTGAGAGTCGGGTGTGGTGATGCACGCTTTTGATCATAGAGCTCTGGAGGGAGCGGCAGCCAGATCTCAGGAAGGTCAAGGCCAGCCTGGACTACAAAGTGAGTTCCAGGGCAGTCAGGGCTACATAGAGAGACCCTGTTTCAAACAAACAAACAAACAAACACCAAAAAGAAGTAAGTAAACAGAAAAGTTGGATTAATTTGCAAACAAAAGTTTTATTCAAAGAGCAAAAAATGTAAACTTAGAATGAGAAAAATCCCACCATTGCAAGTTTTCTTTCGACTGTGAGTATACATATTAGTCAAGTTTGTTTTGCAAAGGAATGCAAGGGACAAGGGCAGTCCAAACTGTTCTCTTCAAGTTGGGTATGTTCTGTTCATTAAAAGACCATTGTAGTGTTCACTGAAAAAGTCAGGCTGAATAGTGTGATAACATCTTAATAACAAGAACAAACAGAATTCTAACATCTAATTTCCCAGGGAAAATGAGGACACCATAAGGAACGATTGGGGCTGATCACTCCAGGAGAGTGACAGCTGCAGCACTTGGGGAAAGGCATAACGGTGCATCTCCCTTTCTCTTTGGCATAGTTTGTAGAACTTTATTAACACTGAAACGTACCTGTAAAACCTATTTACAAGTCATTAACGAAGAACATCTGTAAGGGCAAGAGAGCTTTCTTCACGACAGTTCTCATCGACACATTTGACAGTCAAGAGCTCCCTTTTGAGGTCAGGATGAAGATGTAGGTCCTGGAGGTCACCCAGACTTTCCACTAATATAGACACTTGGATGCCAAACAGGTTAATTTTGGTTTTCTGCTTATGTGTGAATAAACACATGTACTTGCCAACTCAAGTTCTTACAGACTTCATGGAGGACTCCTTAACATTTCACCTCAGTAAACTCCGTGTGAAGTCCAGTTGATGTGATCCGAATGGTGTCTTGTGTCTGCTGCTCAGTTGATGGTATTCCACCAGTTCATATGCTCCACTACCCCCAAGGACCCCAATCAAATGGCTCAGTCAGCTTCCTCTGCTCTCTCCTCCATTCAACACTCCTAGTCTACTACAAGTCCCTCTGAGGCTGGAGACAGAGTCTCTTTTGATGTGACCTTCTTCTCAGTGACTCTCCTCAAAGGAGGAGGTTGGACGGGTGTTTATGAAGACACTCAGTGGGACCCAGGGATATGGTTTCTCAGACTGCTTCAGGGAGGGTGAGATCTTATCAGAAGACATCTTCTTTTCAGGAGGATGGGATGAGGAAGCTTCGAAGATCCTGGAGCTCCAGTAGCCATTTCTCAATCTAGTAAAGACCATTCGGAGAGGTTGGACTGGAACGTGGCTGGACAATGGATGATGGGACTCAGTGAAAGGCTGGGTGAAATTCAGAAGAGCTCTGTTGTGTGGAGGCTGTTGCTCAACACCGGTCACTTGAGGTAATCCTTTTGGTTCAACTTGGCTGGTACTAGAACATGGCACAACACGGAAAGACTCCAACATAGGCTTCTCAGTGCTCTTCTGGGGTCTCTGGTAGGAGCTTAGCCGTCGTTTCTTTGGAGGATTTTGGATAATCTGGGTGGGGAGCTGGAGATTTCTCTTATGGGTTACCTTGAAGCTGAGTTCAGCACGCTGGCTATCTGTATGTGCTGTGTGGGAGTGTTTGTCTTCATCAGAATGCTGGGCTGGTGACTGAGTGTTCAGCATGGGGTTCATCTCCTGCACTTTGAAGGCAGCCTGTGGGACTTGATGGAAGCAATACTCTGTGCTTTGGTCTGTTGGCTTCTCACTGAAGGTTGGCTCCTCATCACTGTGCCCAACTGTTGTTTTTGGCATGTTAGGGACCTCCAGGGTCTGACATTTATCTTCCTTGAGAGGTAAGGTAATATTAGGGTCTTCTGTGGAAGGTGCTGTATGGCACACATGTTCCCCATCTGATTTCTTGACTGATGGCAGATTAGTTTGAGTATGGTTCAGGGATAATTTCTTGTTTACATGGAAGACCGATGGTCTGCTCGGACGCCTCAGATAGTCACCAGGATGTGTCGTATCCTTCCAACTCTGAGGCTTCCTCTCGGGGGGCTTCTTGGGAAATTTGAGCAGGAGAGCCTTCCTCTGCTGCTCTAATCTTTCTCTCTCTTTCTTCTCTTTCTCTGTCTCATTCACTGGCTCAGGGCTCTGAGGATTCTGTCGCTTTCGTGGGTCTCGGTTCTCCTTTTCCTTCTTTACGATGCCCAAGTGTAGTGGTGCCATGGCACCATCCCAAGACTTGATAGGGCACTTCTTGCTTCTTACAGTGTGTCCAAAGGCCCCACAGTTTCTGCATTTCATCCTGGGATTCTCTTCTCGTGGGGGAACTCTCCGCCCCCCTGGTACTCTCCGATTCTGTAAATCCTGAACTTTAATGCCTTTGGCAGACCAAGTTTTGGTGTAGAGGTCTACCTTTTGACCCATCATTTTAGAGTCTCGTCAATCTCCCTCAGGTGTTGATTTGGGATTTCCTAAAACCCAGCTGTCTTCCTCCTGTTTGTTAGCAGGTTCTCAGACAGGTGGATGATGGAGACACAGCAGGGAATGTGACGAAGCTTTCAGGATGCTGGAGGAAAGGAAAGTCACATTTTCTCTTTTATATCACTGGGCTATTTCCTCCCCCTCCGACATTTACTTCATAAATAAACAAAAAAATTAATGAAGTTATTATACAATGTTTTAATGTATAAATACTGTTTTCTAGTGACTTATTCCTTCTGAGGTTCTCATTTTCTTAAGCTTAAGAATGGGGACAGTGGAACTGACCCAGGAGAATTTCAATTTCCTGGAAAAGTCCGATCATATAATCTTAGAATAGAAACAAACGATGCTATTTTATAGAAACAGCCTCAGCTTACTCTGAAGATGAACATGACATGAATTTATCCCTCAAGAGTAAGATAAAAATATAGTTCTCATGCCCAAAGTGGTGGCGCACGCCTTTAATCCTAGCACTCTGGAGGCAAAGGCAGGCTGATCTCTGAGTTCGAGGCCAGCCTGGTCCACAGAGTGAGTTCCAGGACAGCCAGGAATACAAAGAGAAACCCTGTCTAAATAAACCAATATGGCAAAGGCAGGCGGATCTCTGAGTTCGAGGCCAGCCTGGTCCACAGAGTGAGTTCCAGGACAGCCAGGGATACAAAGAGAAACCCTGTCTAAATAAACCAATATGGCAAAGGCAGGCGGATCTCTGAGTTCGAGGCCAGCCTGGTCCACAGAGTGAGTTCCAGGACAGCCTGGGATACAAAGAGAAATCCTGTCTAAATAAACCAATATGGCAAAGGCAGGCGGATCTCTGAGTTCGAGGCCAGCCTGGTCCACAGAGTGAGTTCCAGGACAGCCAGGGATACAAAGAGAAACCCTGTCTAAATAAACCAATATGGCAAAGGCAGGCTGATCTCTGAGTTCGAGGCCAGCCTGGTCCACAGAGTGAGTTCCAGGACAGCCTGGGATACAAAGAGAAACCCTGTCTAAATAAACCAATATGGCAAAGGCAGGCGGATCTCTGAGTTCGAGGCCAGCCTGATCCACAGAGTGAGTTCCAGGACAGCCAGGGATACAAAGAGAAATCCTGTCTAAATAAACCAATATGTAGTTTATATGTGATATATATATATATATAGATATATATATCTATATATATATATATCTCCTTTTTTTTGACTTTTGGAACTCACTCTGTAGACCAGGTTGGCCTTGAACTCACAGAGATCCACCTGCCTCTGCCTCCCCAGAATTTAAAATTTTAATGCAAAGAAAACTGATATATATTATATTTTTTGGAGCCTCATATAATTAATACATTTCAAATTTGTTTTAGCCCAGACACTTTGAAATATGGTGCTTAGGAAAAGGCTTGGTGGGTTGACTAATGGTGAAATAATGTAGCCTGTATACTTGGAATGCAATTTAGATATCACAAAGATGTTAAGAAGCAATATTAACATAATACATCTATCATGCAACATCACCTTACTTGACGGCTTTAGTAAATCTTTCCCGCTGAAATACTTGTTACCGTGGCCATCATTTTTAAAAAAAATTTTGAACATGATAAAAGGTGGAAACTTTTCACCACCAAATCTGAAATAAAGATAAAAAATTAGTGATGTGGCATCAATTGTGGGGCTCCATTGCTTCTTTCTCATGTACTTAGCACAGCTCATACTGTTTTTCAAATATAGGGCATATAAAGATCCAGCAAAGAAATGGATCCTAAGGTGAACGTCACAATTATTCTCATACTTAGGGACACAATGGTGGTGAGACCTCATGTCACAATTATTCTCATACTTAGGGACACAATGGTGGTGAGACCTCATGTCAATTTATAGCCAGAGTCACGTCTTAAGTCTTTTTACATAACAAATGTAAACAGGGACACACTTTTTTAATTTGGTCCTGAGAAATAATCAGTATGAAATATAATCATTTCTATTATTTATCCTCTGAAATAAATCAGCATAGTTACATTACCGAAATCTGACTTTACACTTCATGCTAGGATCTTTAACAAGTGCAGCCTCTTTGGGGCTTACTTTCTTCAGTAGTTCATGTGCCACACAATATTCCTGAAATAAATGATGTCACTGTGAACAGAAAGTGGTATCCCATCCAGAAGTCATTTACTGATTAAGAATGGAAGCAGCTGGGCAGTGGTGGCTCATGCCTTTAACCCTAGCACTCAGGAGGCAGAGGCAGGCGGATCTCTGAGTTCGAGGCCAGCTTGGTCTACAGAGAGAGTTCCAGAAGAGCCAGGGCTGTTACACAGAGAAACCCTGTCTCAGAAAACAAAACAAATCAAAACAACAACAACAACAACAAGAAGAATGGAAGTATAGTGAAATGAACACTACCCTGGGCTCAGGGTTCTAAAGAGGTGGATTTCTATTCTTGACTCCTCCATTTATCATCTACATAGCCTTTCATCTGTTATTTCAACTCACGGGGCTTCAAATTTGAGTATCCATGCCTTTTGAGATCACAGGCATTTTGAGATCCCTATGATAATACTTTCCCACAATCTATTGCATTTATCTATAGACTTATCTGTGTCTCCAACTAGATTATAAGCATCATGAAGGTAGAAGAAGCATCTTTCTTCTTTATCATATTCCTAGAATCTAATACAGTACCTGAAATACACAAGAAACTTAACAATTGTTTAATGTTGAATGAATCATGGTAGTATGGGGATGATAATGATATTAAGTTACTAGCTTTTAAGCATCTTTTATTCACCGTGTAATATGGTGGTATCATAGTCATATATATATACATATACATGTATGTATATATATATATATATATATATATATATATATATATATATATATATATATATATATACAACCTCACTTAATCCTAACAACAACACAAGTAGAATATTATCACTCTCATGTTATAAATGAGAAAGCTAAGTTTCAATCTTAGATCTGCTTGACTCTAAAATTTCCATTCTTTTCCTTAAATGATCCTATTCAATTTTATGCCTGTGATAATTCCACAAAATGCACAATAATGGGATTTTAACAATATAAAGCATTTTATTCTTGTTTTTTTCCCCCAAGACAGGGCTTCTCTGTGTAACAGCCGTGGCTGTCCTGGAACTCATTCTGTAGACCAGGCTGGCCTCGAACTCAAGAGGTCCACCTGCCTCTGCCTCCAGAGGTCTGGAATTAAAGGTATGTGCCACCACCACACAGCTAAGATAAAGCATTATTAACGTGAGGTATTAATTTGAAGCTTTGGAACAAAGATGTGAAAAATAACTGATTAACTTCATTTATTTACTGAGAGCCTAAAATTAAGAGGAAAGAAGTAACATGATAATTAAAAATGAGTTTCGTATGATAATACAAATAGGTCTATGGGTAAGATAGTGAAGAAGTATACATATTGCTCAGACTCTATTTTTCAGGACTGCTAAAACTCTTCTAATGAGACTATTCTGATAGTAGACTACTTGAAGCAAGCCTTAAGACTCTGGAGTGTCCAGTTTTGTTTTTGTTTTTTCGGGGAAGAAGGATGGGCATCTGTTTGTCATTTTTATTCAAATAGGATTATATTCCTCTACTGTTCTGACTTGCCCTTTTCACTAACAAGCTATCTTGGTTATCCTTCTGTTGCAGAATTGTGTTACTATTGCAAGCTTTACACATGAAAACAGAGACATTTCCTTGCTTCTATGAACCAATGCTGCAATGAGATTATACTGTAGAATGCACTCTTAGAAGTGAAACTGCCGGAGATGGCTCCGTGGTTAATAACGTGCACGTACTGTTTTGGCAGAGGATCTTGCTTTGGTTCCCAGCACTCACATGTGGGCTCACAATTGCTTGTAACTCCTGCAGGCTCTTGCATGCACGTGGTGCACATAAACTCACTCAGACTCACATGTAGACACATGTATAGTACATAAATATAGAAATAAAGAAATCTTTTTTAAAAATAAGTGAAACTGCTGGGTAAAAGAAAAGTGCATTTTTAAATTCGGGATTTTTTTCTACAGTGTTGGAGATCAAACTCAGGGCCTCATGCATGTTGAAAACACATTCTACCACTGAGCTACACCCCCAGTTTTTCTTTTCTTTTTTTTCTGAGACAGGGTTTCTCTGTAGCCATGGCTGTCCTGGAACTCACTCTGTAGAACAGACTGGCCTCGAACTTGGAGATCTGCCTGCCTCTGTCTCCAGAGTGCTGGGATTAAAGGTGTGTGCACGTGTGCACCACCACCTAGGTGCCTTATACCCCAGTTCTTTTTTTTTTTTTTTTTTTTTTTTTGGTTTGAGACAGGGTTTCTCTGTGTATCTTTGGCGCCCTTCCTGGAACTCACTCTGTAGACCAGGCTGGCCTCGAACTCACAGAGATCCACCTGGCTCTGCCTTCCGTGTGCTGGGACTAAAGGCGTGCACTATAACTGCCCAGTATAAGCCCAGTTTTTGTTTTTTGTTTTGGTTTTTCGAGACAGGGTTTCTCTGTGTAGCTTTGTGCCTGTCCTGGATCTCACTCTGTAGCCCAGGCTGGCCTCGAACTCACAGAGATCCACCTGCCTCTGCCTCCCGAGTGCTGGAATTAAAGGTGTGCGCCACCACCGCCCGGCTATAACCCTAGTTCTTAATTCAGAGATTTTTATTGTTGGAAGATCACTGTCTCCTATCTTCAAATAAGGACACAAATTCAAAAACTGAAACACAGCTGCATTAATTTCAGAAAAAATAGTAATACTCATTCATAGCAAAAATAAACCCAGAGGTCTGGAGAGGTGGCTCAGAAGTTAAGCGTACTGACTGATCTTCTAGAGGACCCAGATTTCATTCATACTGCCCACATTACAACTGTCTTTCACTCCCTGGTCCCAGAGAGGGGCTCTACTGCTCTCTCTGGTCTCCAAAGGAATTGCATACTACAGTGTAGAGATAGACTTGAAGGCATCCATACATATAAATAAAATAAAAATAAATAAATCTAAAAACCCCAGAAATATTCATTAAGATTAACAAAAGAAGCAATTTTAGAACTTTACATACTATTATTATATCTAAGTCAAAGAGATAAAGAGGGTTATTTGTTCTATCTTTAATTAACTGGTCTTATTAACTAATTAAGGAATAACATCTGTCAGAGAAAAAAATACATACCGCTGCACAAATTGCGTGTTTTAGGAGTTTAAACAATGTTTTGTCCACATAAATGAGCCAGGCTTTCTGTATTTTTGTTGCTGCAATGTCTCTATTAATTATAAGAAAAAGAGGTTAGCGATTTATGAGCACTTTTCATTTTCTTGAAATCTTAGACAACTTTCAATTTATGCATCCTCTTCTATTTCCCATTACTAAGACTGACCTAATGGGGAACCTTTGGGTGGAGTAACTGGAACTAGTATTTGTAGTCTCTAATCAGAGTGAGGATATGGAAAAATGAATATTTCCCCTGAGATAAAAAAATGAGCCTAAAACTTTATCAAGATACATACATAAAGCCAGACATGGTGGCACATTCTTATAACCCCAGCACTTAGCAGGTGGAGGCAGGAGGATCAAGAGTTCAAGACCAGCTTTGACTACACAGTGAATTTGGGTTGAGGGTACAGTTCTGGTGTGTGTGAGAATCTCTCTCTCTCTGTCTCTCTCTCTCTCTGTCTGTCTCTCTTCTGTCTCCTCTCTCTCTGAGACAGTGTCTCATGTAATCCAGGCTGGCTCTGAAGAGCTAGATATGCAAGTGAGGATGACCTTAAACTTCTGATCCTCCTGACTCTAACTTCTTAGTGCTGGGATTATACCATGCCTGGTTTTATGTGATGATGGAAACTGAACCAAGGACTTGTACACACTAGGTAAGAACTTACTAAGTATATTCTTAGTCAGAGATCCTAGGATTTAATTCCTACCACTGCTGGGGGGGGGTTGGAGGTGGGAAAGGAGAGGAAGAGAGAGGGCAGGGAGGAAGAGGGAGGGCAGGGAGGATAGAAGGGAAAGGGATGGAGAAAGAGAGAATATAGCAGATGTGAGAAGGCAAATTTGCCTTCTAAAAACATTCATGGGGCTGGCGAAATAGCTTTGTGGGTAAAGAATGAGAACCTGAATTTGATAGCTCGAAACCATATAAAATGATGTATGTGTTTGCAAAGCTTGTAATCCCAGCACTGGTGAAGTGGAGGCAGGTGAATCCCTGAGGCTCCTGGACAAGTCAGCCTAGCCTTGTTAGTGAATTCCAGTCCAGTGAGAAAGCCTCTCTCAAAAAATAAGGTGAAGGGGCTTGAGAAATGGCTCAGTTGTTAAAGACTGCTGGGCAAGCATGAGCAACCATGGAAAAGTACACCACAACACTGGGTGGGGTGGGTGCAGACAGGAGGATTCCAGTTGCTTTTTGGCCAGTCTAGCTGAAATTGTGCACTCTAGATTCAGTTCGAGACCCTGTCTCAAGAAATAAGTAAATGAAGTGGAGAGTAATAGAGGAAGAAACTCGGTGTCTGTGAACGCTCCTGTGCACACATGTACACACCCCCCCCCCCCCCCCACAGCTAGAGAACTACTGAGGAAGATCTCTGGCCTTCAAGTGCATGTATACCTTCCACAAACTTGCACACGCCCACAGCACATACAATAATTTGTAGTCAGGATTTTTTTTTTAAAGATTTTTAGACAAGGTCTCACTATGTACCACATACTAGCCTGGAACTTAGTCCAGGCCGGCCTCAGGTTCCTTAGTGCTGGGATTACAGGTAGTTACTAAAAGCACTGCCTAACTGATTCAAGAGCAATGAAAAGGCAATCTAGAATAGTTGAATTTACACGAGGCTCTGTTTCTTTTCTAGGGGCTTATAATTATGACCTAGAAAAAGAAATTCCCTTTTCTTATCTTTGTTTAAGCCAGGTTCGTCCCAGTCAGGCTAGAGAAATAATTAACTTTAGATAATGTCCCAGCACCAACTGATTTCACAGGTCTCTCCTCCAGGGCTCTCCCACCTGGTCAGTATCTCTCATAGGGCTATATGCAAAGACAGGGACATCTGTACAATGTCACCACCGGCTGGCAAAATGTAGACTACAAGATTTAGATTTGGGGTTGGGGATTTAGCTCAGTGGTAGAGCGCTTGCAAGCGCAAGGCCCTGGGGTCGGTCCTCAGCTCTGGGCGGGGGAGGGGGAGGGGAGAAGATGTAGAGAAGAAAAGGCCTGAGGAGGTATGGGGAAATAACTCAGTTGGTAAAAGCCTACCATCAGGCATGAGGACCTGAGTTTGATCCTTAGAGCCCACATAAAAATACCTGGCATGGTGGCATGTGTTTGTAATACCAGTGCTGGGGATGTGGAAACAGGAGGATCCCCAGAGCTTGCTGGCCAGCCTAGTCTAATTGGCACACTCTAGGCCAATGAGAGAGCTTGTCTCAAAGGAGTTGAATGGTTGGTATTCCTAAAGATGACACCTAAGGTTGTCACACGCACACACACACACACATCAAAAATAGAAAAGAACATAGTGGTGCATGCCTTTAATCCCAGCACCTGAGAACAGGGGTCAGGCAAATCTCTGTGAGTTCCAGGCCAGTCATTCCTCTTAAAAAAAAAAAAAAGGCCCAAACTACAGAAATAAATCTTTTGAATTCTAGCTGATATCATTCATTAACTGGTTTAACTTTTTTCCCAGTTGCATTTTTCTCACCTTTTTTAAGATTTAAAAATATTTTAATTATATGTGTGTGTGTGTGTGTGCGCGCGCGCGCGCGCGTGTGCACGTGTGCACGTTCGCATATGAGTGCAGGTCCCCACAGAGTCCAGAGATGTTGGAGCCCGTGGAGCTGGAACCACAGGCCGTTGTGAGCTGCCTAACATGAGTGCCAGAATCAGAACTCAGGTCTTTAGGAAGGGGGTCCTAATTACTGAGTCATCTCTCCAGTCCTCTTTTTCTCACTGATAATGTGTAATAACACAATTGCTTCAGAAGGCTGGAGTATTACCAAGTGGATGTGTGAACATGCTTTGTGAATTATGAAAGTCTAAAGCTATAATATTCAATTTGAAGGTAATTTTTAAAAACACCAAAATTTTAATTTACACATTAGAAATATTTAAAGTTATCTGAGAAAACTTGGTAAGTTTAGCTAGGCATAGTGGTGCACACCTTTGGTTCTAGCCCTTAGGAGGGAGACGTAGGTGAATCTCTGTGAGTTTAAGGCCAGCCTGGTTTACAAAGGGAGTTCCAGGACAGCCAGGGCTACACAGAGAAACACTGTCTTGTAAAACAAAAACAAAAACAAAAACAACAAAAAAAAAACCCCAAAAAACCAAAAACCAAAACCAAAAACAAAAAAAACCCAAACAAACAAACAAAAACCCAGGTAAGTTTGTAATTTGTCTAGTTGTGGAAAAATGACAAAAGGCAAAAAGATGGCTTCTTACTCTTTTCTTGCCTTTTTCTTTGCAGCACGTGCCGGTTGTGTCTTGTGGATTTTTTCTGGGAGCTGACTATCTGATTTTGGAGCACGAGTATCTGTTGTATTTGAGGACTTTTTCATTGTCCCTACAAAGAAGTAATCTGAACACACATACATTAAGCTTTTAAGGCCATAATCCCCACATTATTACATTTGGACTAGACTCAAATGCCATATGATTGTCCTGTTCATTTTAGAACCCCTTTAAAAAGAAAGCATTGTGTGTTCAGTGGCGTTTACAGTTTACATTCTTTCCATACTGAAAATACCATGTGGTTTGTCGGAAAGACAGTGAATTTATCTATGACCTCCTAACTGGCCTCCCCCTCCGCTATCTTTTCGCGATCTTTTTCCTCCTATTCACCCCACAGCTGAAGTTAATGGTTCTTCTTGTGACACAGGATCTCATGTATCTGAGGCTGGCCTCAGTCTCCTTATGTAGTAGAGGGTAGCCTTAAGCTGGTCTTCCTGTCCCAACATCCCACGTGCTGAGATTACAGACGTTCACCACCACATCTGGCTCTTGAAGTTAACCTTTGTGAGCAGTAAGTAATTCAGGGACATTCATTCTCCTCACAAATTACTTAATGGCAGGAGGTACTTTGCTGACTGTGGAAACCAGGTGGAGGATTTTCACACATTTTTTTGTAGAGTTTTTTTGTGCAGTTTTTATTAAACACTTGTGAGACTTTGGGCAAATTACTTAATCTCTTCATAGTTCAGTGCCCCTTTGGTAATGTGAGCAGGCATATCTGAAATTACTTGATTCTGCCTGTAACATTTTACTGTTTGAAGCATTATATTCCAGTTCGGATGAAGCTTTCAAATTCTTAGTCATATCTTCAAAAATACCTTTTTAAAATGAAATCGCAGTGTCTTCTTTATGCATAAAACAAAATCTAATAACCACTGTACTTTTGTAGTAATGAGCATAAGCGATATTTTTAGTTAGCTGCCGTGCCTGTAAATGGTATGAAAAGATCTCTGCTTTCTCTTGGTGACACTCACAGGTACTGCTAATACTGGGAGGCTTGTTGCCTACACTGTACTTGAAAGAAATGCTAAAGTTCAGTTAGAGTTTAGCGAAGGTGAAGCTGTCCCTTTCCGCTTTGCCTAGTTCCCGTACCTCCTGCATTAAGAGCTTCTGCTGTAATTTATCACTATGCTTCACACTTTTAAGATATTACCTTAGTGATGCAGAGCCTTCAGAGTCAATTCAGTATTTCTCCTTAGGGGTTGGAGATGGGAATGGCTTGGAACATACAGTTCTGTTGAGAAGGAAAAAAAAAAGCCGCCCTTAACATTTGGGAGTTGGTCCGGCGCTCGCTCCGCTGAGCCTTAGCATTTCCCCCTTCCCGAAGCTTGCTAACTCTTCCAAGTCCTGCTTTAAAAAACCCCCTTGACCACAACTCACCAAGCCAAAGCTCAAATACTACGACAAACTTAACACTTTCTTACTGAAATGCTCCAGTTTGCCCCAGACGGGCGTTTTTGTTGTTGTTTTGTTGTTTTTTCCTCGCGTCAAATAAAAAAAACTAATATCTTCAAAAAGACAGGTGTGTGTCTAGCAGTCTTTGGGTAAGAGGACAGTGAACAAATCTCCACCGAACAAATCTCCAAATCGTCAGGATGCCCATGTGGCTTCCATCCCCTGTCGAATTAGGACAGAAATACAGATCGAAATACGAAATACACCGTCTTTTACGGGACGGGCTAGCGTTTGCTGAGGCTAGCGCGGAGATTTCAAAGGCAGACTACCTGGAACTCGATCCTCGCTTCAGATTTCCCGCAGCCTCGGACACTCGGCAATGAGAACCATGCCCACCGACTTGTGCGAGAGGAATGAAATTACGCGTTTAAATCACTGTTAACGCTTGTTTTCCTTGTGAATAGTTAAATACTGTCATTTTACTTCTACAAGTATTAAATGGACAAATATTTGATTCTCAGATTTACACTTTAGTCCTTTTTTTTAAAAAAGGTCAGTTTTTTTGCGATTAAATGACAGTGCATTTAGTTTAGTCTTAAAATTTAAGGAACATTTAGCATACGGTAAATTCTTTAAGGAAAAACCTTTGGTGAGGTAAATCGAAGCCCCAAAGTCGATGTGCCGCTTCACCCTAAAAGGCTGGCACAGCCTCCCCCCAGGTCCGACGGGCGCCACCGCCTGGCTACCTCAGCTTACAGGATTCCCATCACAGCCGGGCATCCAATGGTGAAGGCAAAGCTGGTTCCCAGCGCGGCAGGACGCCAAGGAGCCGCCTTCTCTTCTCCGCACTTGCCGCCTACACGGAGCTGCAGCCTTTTGCCGCCTAGCAACAGTGGGACGGACAAGAAGGCGGGGCTTGGGCTCTTCACGCTCCCGCGCGCGGGCGCCTCTCGGTTGCTAGGCAACTCAAACGCGCCACCTAGTGGAGTTGGACTGGAGCTTTTGGCGGGTTGAGTTGAGGGCGGAACATCATCATCTCGTGCACCACAGCGTGTTCGCGGTCCAAGGAATCAGGATCTAACCCGGCTTCCGTAGTCGCTTTCTATAGTGGGCGGGCCCAAAGGAGGGGTGACCCTGCGGGAGCCGCGGCTGCCAGCGACATGTTCAAGGTGAGAGCGTTGAGTCGGGTCACAGCTGTCATCGCCCCCTCTCAGACTACCGGAGCCTTTCCTACGCTCCCGTGGGGCCTTTGGGGATCAGACTCGGCTCCCCCCGAGGCTTTGCCCACCTCTGGGTTGGCTAAGTCCTGGCCCAGCGATTCATTCACTGCCTGGTACCAGCAGCGTGAGGTTGAGGCATGGAACCCTAGATGGGTGGGATGGGCCCTTGAGTAGGTCTCTCGCGAATGGAACATTTTGAAGACTTAAGACGCCGCTGTAGTACCCACTTCCTCGGCTCATGCCCTTTTGGGGTCGTGGGTAGGATGAGGCCAGGTCCGGGCATGAGGCTTTGGTTGCTTGGCAGGATCAGGTTTCAGAACCTGGCATGGCGGGTGGGGGAGGGTCAGCTTCGGAGGATGTCCGGGAGGCTGGGGAGGGAAAGGCTAAGAGTAGGGAAAGCTGGCGCTTACTCCCTAGTGAGCGTTAGTGTGGAAAAGTCGACTCTTATCCCCTCCCTTACAGTTTTTTTTGAACTCCTGTACTCCGTAAGACGTTTACAGTGAAGACTTTCAAAAACCTGTATTTTATCATAGTTATTCTTTCTTAAAAATCAGTTATATTTTGTCATTAAAAAAATTACAGGCTGTGCGTGCCTTTTATCCCAGCACTCGCGAGGCGGAGGCAGGTGAGTTCGAGGCCAGCCTGGTTTACATAGCGATTTCCAGGACAACCAGGCTTACATAAAGAGACCCTTTCTAAAAAAAAAAAAAAAAAAAAAAAAAAGCAACAACAACAAAAACCAAACCAAACCAAACCAAAAAACAACAAGCAGCCAGAAATCTATAAAATTATAAAATCAACACGCCAAGAAACATTCACAGAATAGTGCTAATAAAATCTCAAATTTATGCTACCCATTTAAAAGTTTCCTGCAGATTAAAAATTTCCTGGCACATTAATATGGGCTGCAAAATCAGACCATGGTTTTGCCTTCCAGTGCTGTGGGATTGCCAGTTTCTCGATATATGATAATGGACAGGTCATTTAACTCCCCCCTGACTGTGCTTTTCTATTGGTGAAATTAAGGTAATCAAAAAATCTAATTGTTACACCAAAACTACACAGAGAACTGAGGAAAATTCTCTCACTAAACCCAGAGAAAGGATGGACACTGAACTCATTGATATGTTGGCTCAGTGTCATCAAAGACCTGACTCTTCTGGGTTTACTATGGCATTGTCAGCTTTCCTTACGCTTACAAGATGACAACCAGTAACAATACTTTGTCATTCGTTAGGGGAAGAGGAGAGGATAACACTCCCATGCTTGGATTATGTTTTTCCTTCAGGTCTGATTGGACCAACATGTCTGTCCCTAGCCCAATAGCAGTTACCAGGGGAATGTTGGGCTCTGGTTAGCTTAAGTTAAACAGGATAATTTTGCTTAAACATATGGGAAAGGAATGGTTTCATGAACACTGGGGTTCTTTTGGGAGGAAGAGGTGTAATGGAAACTGAATCAGCAACCAACAATGCCCCTGTCAGGTATATTCATAGGAGTCTGTGAACATGTTCATTGACTTGGGCTCTTTGAAAATCTTCCATGATCGTCATACATATTAAGTTTATTGATGGAAATGAAAGATTAGCATAGATTGATGACTCATAAGTTTTTTTTACAGGAGGGAGAAAGAGGGAAGGAAAAGGATGTGATTGTAGAACCACTGTGGTTCTCAGCTGACTGGTACCACTCCCTTTGGGTATGTTTTGGAAATTTCAGGGGTTGTTCTTTGTGTCTTTAGATGTGTTGAACATTTGTTTTAGTTTTAATTTTTTATTTTATGTATATTAGTGTTTTGTCTGCATGTATGTCTGTGTACCACATACTTGCCTGGTGCTCAGAGGCCAGAAGAGAGCATATGATTCCCTGGAACTGGAGTTACAGATGGTTGTCAGATGCCATGTGGGTGCTGGGAATGGAACCTGGGTCCACTTCTCCTCTCAGCGCTGGGCCCCCATCTGGTGCAGACCCATACAGGCCCTGTGCATGATGCAGCAGTCTCCGTGAGTCATACGTGTGTCTGTTATGCTGCGTTTAGAAGGCCTTGTTTCCTTGGTGTCCTTCATCCCCTTTGGCTCTTACAATCTTTCCTCCTCCTCTTCCACAGGGTTCCCTGAGCCCTGAGGGGAGGGATTTGATGGAGACGTCCCATTTAGGACTGAGTGTTCCAAGGTCTGTCACTCTCTGAATATTGTTCAATTGTGAGTCTCTGTATTTGTTCCCATCTGCTACAGGAGGAAGCTTCTCTGATGATGGTTAAGCAAGGCACTGATCTATGAGTATAGCAGGATGTCATTAGAAGTCATTTTATTGCTACATTCCTTTAGCAGAACAGTAGTATTTGTTTTCCCCCTAGGTTAGTGGCCTATCAAGTGCCAGGTTCTTGGCCACTCTAGCAGTGTCAGGCATGGGTTCTGTCTCATGGAGTGGGCCTTAGTTTCAATCAGATAGTGGTCGATTACTCCCACAACTTCTGTACCACTGTTGCACCAGCCTATCTTGCAGGCTGCTCATCATTGTAGATCACAGGGTGTGTAGCTGGGTTGGTGTTTACCTTTCCTCTAGTAGCATGCAGAATGCCTTCCAGTATTATATTATGTGTAAAAATAAGTATATATCATATATAAATAAAATCATGGGTGTTGGTGAATGAAAAATTTTATTGTGATACCAGGTATTAGCAGTTGAGAGCCACAGTCCATCAAACTTTAATGTGCATGTGACTTGTTAAAATCTAGATTGGGATGGGGCCTCAGATTCTCTCTCTTTTTTTTTTTTTTGGAGCATCTCAGTGTCATTGATGCTGCTGGTCATCACATATTGAATAGTTAAGAATTTATTTAGTAAGATCCTTAGTGCACGTTCCCTGTGTTTTTGAGGTTGATGACTTCATGAATGGGGTAGGATTTGGAAGAGGCACTGACTAGGGACCAAAAAAAAGGGGGTTGCAAAGACTCTGCTGAGAGTTTTGCTACTACAAGTCTCTGCTTAGAGGGGACAGAATAAATGGTAGGATTGGTCTGGCTTTGGGAATTGCCAGCTTGGGGAGACTAGGACTTGAAGGGACAAGGCTTGATAGTGTAGGTGTTGGTAAGGAAGTACAATGTGTGTAGCTTGTTATGGGTATTTTCAGTGTTTAAAACTGTGACTGTTGTTTTCTTTTTAAAATTGTATTATTTATTTATGTGTATGTATGTGTGTTTATGTACGTGCCCAAGGAGGTCAGAGAAGTGTTTGCTCCCTGAAGCTGGAGTTCCAGGTGTTTGTGAGCTGCCTGATGTGGATGCTGAGAGTTGAACTGGGGTCCTCTGTAAGAATAGTAAAAATAATATGTACTCTTAACCGCCGAGCCATTTCTCCAGCCCTGTGACCATTGCTTTTATTTGGTTATTCATGATCAGGGCAGTAGGGAGCATTATGGATTTAAAAAAAATCACATTTGAAAAGTGTGCCAGTATTTGTATTCTGTTGTTGGAAGCAGTTTTTCTTTGTGTTGTAGCAGGAAGTTTGAATACTGAATACATAAAT